TAAAAATGACTCTATGCCTGGAAAGCAAAATGATAGCCAATAAGAAATCTGTAGAAGGCTATCACCGATTCTTTACTTTCTATTAACTCAAGAAATACAGCATTGTGGTTAAAAGCATAGGGCTTGAAATAGAAATAGATTTGAGTTTGTGTTGTACTGTTAATATTTTACCTTCAATATTTTGAACTTCTGGAAACTTCAATTTCTGTACTTTTAAAATTTCAATAATCTATATCTATATCTATCTATCTATCTATCTATCTATCTATCTATCTATCTACCTATCTATCTATCATAGCTCATAGTTCATGCCTTCATGTTTGAATAGAAATTGCCAACTTATCTGTCATTTTATGTTTGGTTCCACAGCTAAGTGTTCATTTAAAAAAATGACTGCTGGTATCTTCTTGTCAGTGAAAACTTACTCACACTACACAAGTATGTTTTAATATCTCAAATAGTACTTTTCCCAATTTATGCATGTGACTATAATAAAATAAATTAAAATTTTTAAAAATCCACAAATTAAATAAGGACATTTTTAACAATTTAAAAACTATATTTTTAACCATTGGCCTTAGTTATTTTTGGCTTTTCCTTATTTCCTCACATATATGATATTATTCTTCTGCTTTAAAAGTGTATACATCGTTCAAGTCTTGCATTGTCTGTAAGATCATCTACTAGTTTTTTTTTTTTTTACAAATAGTTTATTGTCAAATTAGTTTCCACATAACACCCAGTGCTCATCCCCACAAGTGTCCTCCTCCATGCCCATCCCCCCCTCCCCCCCACATCCATCAGTCCTCAGTTTTTGTCAGCATTCAAGAGTCTCTCATGGTTTGCCTCTCTCCCTTTCCCCCATCATTTCCCCCCTTCTTCTCCCCCTTGTTCCTCCGTCAAGTTCCTCCTAATCCTCCTATACGTGCAAACATATGATATTTGTCCTTCTCTGCCTGACTTATTTCGCTCAGCATAACACCCTCAAGGTCCATCCATGTTGCTACACATGGCCAGATTTCATTGTTTCTCATTGCCATGTAGTATTCCATGGTATAGATAAACCACATCTTCTTGATCCATTCATCTGTTGATGGACACTTAGGCTCTTTCCATGTTTTAGCTATTGTGGAGAGTGCTGCTATGAACATTGGGGTCCATGTGCTCCTATGCCTCAGCATTTCTGTATCCCTTGGGTAAATTCCTAGCAGCGCTATTGCTGGGTCATAGGGGAGTTCTATTGTTAGTTTCCTGAGGAACCTCCACACTGTTTTCCAGAGGGGCTGTACCAGTTTACATTCCCACCAACAGTGTAGGAGGGTGCCCGTTTCTCCACATCCTCGCCAGCATCTAGAGTTCTCTGATTTGCTCATTTTAGCCACTCTGACTGGCGTGAGGTGGTATCTCAGTGTGGTTTTGATTTGTATTTCCCTGATCATCTACTAGTTTTATTTAACCCATTTCTTAAGATGATACAAAATTTTATTTAATCTAAGTACTGGTTATTCTTCATTATGACTTCACAAGTCAGCCCTAATCAACGTGTTCATTCTGTGTAGTTTACTTTTTCATATATGCTATACAAGGAGAAATTGATAGGCAAGGAGGAAAAACACATACTGTTTGAGTGGTTTGCAGAGTTGAAATGGAAAGGGGGAAGATGGATGCTAGTCACCAAAGAAGTTAAAAGAAATAAATGACAGCATGAATATTCTGACTTTGGCTACAATGTTATTTTGGTAAAATTCAGAATTGTACAAAAAAATTTTTTAAATGATAGCCTATGGGCTATCAGGGCAAGTATTGAGTTAATTCTCTGACTTTTCTGGTCTTTAAACACAGGCCAGATAAACACGGAGGATAATATGAGGGGAATTTAAGTTTGACTAAGTGGTGAAACCAGATGATCTGAAAAGCTTCGATGTTCTTACAGGTAACGCTGCAGCTGACTGCATGTAACTCTACCCTCCAGCCTTTGTAATGACTTCTCTCAAAAGCAGGAAAACATCTATCTCCACTCCACTCTTGCCCTTAGTTCAGTCAAGTTTTCATGCTGCTCTCCCTCCATGTTGCTGCCAGGATAATCTTTCCAAAACATAAATTTGATTATGTCATGGCCTTTCCCCATCTTCCAAATGTTCACATTCTACTCTTTTCCTGGTTAAAGCTCAAAGACACACTTTGAAGCTTGCCTGACAAAAATTCACTATTAAGGATTCAACTTAAAGATTTCCCATTTTTCCACTATTCCATATGCCCTTATTCCAGCCAGATACTACATACTATTTGCCCAATTTGTCATATTCTTTAAACCTCAAAGCCATTGCTAGATTTTTTTTTTGGTACATTAGATAAATTCCACAGTATTCTTCAGTTCTGTCCCAAAAGGCCAACTCTCAGGGAGCTCTCCATGACCACATTATAGGCAGTGTTACGCCCTTGTTTTGTGAGCCTATTAATACTCTGTAAATGTCTTCTTTATAGCACTCATTGCACTATAATCTTCATGTATGTGTTTATGGTCCTATTTTGTGAATGTGTTTACTACTCTGTTTAATACATGAACTTCTTAAGAGCATGAACTTTAAAAAGGAATCTTTATCTTTTCAGCAGAATGCCATGCATGTATTGTAAGCTCTCAATAAATATTTGTGAATGACCAACTTAAATTTGGCATCCAAATTCTTACTAATCTTTATATGTTGTGCTAATAATTAAAATTTTGTGCAGGCAATGGATATACATGGGATGACCAAGGGATTGTAATGTATAGGTCAAACAGAATTGAGTGACTATTTAATAAATAGAAGACTGAGTATTCAAGATACTTCTGATAGTTTGCTGGAACTATGTGAGGGTAGTGATCAGGAAATTCTGGATAAACAAGAAAAGTCCCTAGTTTCTTCTAAAAAATAAATAGAATAAGTAGAAGAAAAATGAGGTGGTTGTTGAATGAGATTATTTTCATAGGCTCATCTTCCAAAAGGTTTTGCTGTACTGTGTTCTGTCTGTCCATTTATCTGTCTGTATGTAGCTTTATCTAGTTGTTCATTCATCCGTCTATCATCTATTTGTCTATATCTGTCTAACTGTGATTTTTAAATTGAAGAGTAAAAAACATACAGTGAAAATTTCGAACAATTCTAAATAAGATAAAATATAACTTTATGTCTTATTCCATCATCCCCAAACAACATAGCAATTTTTATATGTATCACTAGTTCAAAAAATTTTTCTAAACTCCTAAAAACAAAATTTTCTTTCTCCCTAAATGAATGCATATTATACATATTGCTTGTTCCTTTAAGGCTAAGAATATATCTGGAGATTATTCCACACCAATATAGTTTGATAAAATGTTTATACGTTTTTATTCAAATTCCAGTTAGTAAGGTGTAATATTAGTTTCACATGTACAATACAGTGATTCAACACTTTCATGCAATACCCAGCACTCATCACAAGGTACACCTCTTAATCCCCATCACTTATTTAACGCATTCCCACCTACCTCCTCTTTGGTAACCATCAGTTTGTTCTCTGTAGTTAAGAGCCTCTTTCCTGGTTTGCTTCTTTCTTTCTCTCAATAAAGGTTTTTTTTTTTTCTTTTGTTCCACTGAATAATTTTCTCTTATATGGTTGGGATAGTAATATATTTATTCAGTCCCTTATCTTTATTTTAAATGTTTATTTAATTATTTTGAGAGAGAAAGAGAACACGACCACGCATACCAGCCAGTGGAGGGGGCAGAGAGAGAGAAGGAGAGAATCTTAAGCAGACTCTGCACTGTCAGCACAGAGTCCGATGTGGGGTTCGATCCCATGAACCATGAGGTCATGAACTGAGCCAAAATCAAGAGTCTGACGCTTAACTGACTGAGCCACGCAGACGCCTCTACTCAGTCCTTTATCAGTGAAAGTTAACTTTCTTTCTTGTTGCTTGCTTTTCCAAAAAGTGTTGCAATGATCCTCTTAAACGTGTCTTTGCATATTTGGGTGATGTATCTTTAGATTTCTTTAGATATCTGGAGGTGGAGTTTCTAAGATTTGCGGTTACTACAACTTCCTTTTAAGCGTCTTCTGACATTTTCAGTTGTAATGATATGTTGGTTCTTATCTTTTCTTCAAAGCCAAGAGTGAAGCAATGTCTTTTGCTTCTTGGTTCCATCATTACAAGACATTCCCCCTTTTCTGCCTCCTGTATCCTTCTTGTGAGTTGTCTTGTGATTATTTTGAGCATCTCCATGTCCATAACTTAATTGCATCAGCATAGGGTCTTTTACCAAGGATGGTAACATATTCACAGGTTTCAGAAATTTGGACATGAGCAACTTTTGGGATCTTTTCTTCACCCAGCCACAACAAAGAAGGATTTATTGAGAGTATCCTGTCCCTATTTTATTATTCTTTTGGGAGTAGGGAGGGGCAGTATAAGAATAGAGTAAAAAAAAACCAAAACATGTTTAATTTGATAGATTTCTGAGCCACAATCTAATTGAAAGAGAAGTCGCATCCCATGGAAATCCTGAACACTGAAATAGTGCATTGACTTCATTGAAGGTTTTTTTCCATAAGAAGAAATTTACTGAGTTCTTCATGCAGAATCAATCAATCAATCAATCTCCCCCCAGCCACATGACCACCACAATTATTGCGGGATAATATATTAGATAACCAGGAATATCTTTAATCTTTCTGGGCATATATAAGAAGCTACAATTCCAGGACTCCCTTGAAGTGACCCGTAAGTGTGGGTTTATTCTTAAATAATCACAGCAATTGTTGCTTCTTACTTGTTGTCTGTAGGGACTTAGCAGAGAAATCTGAAGAAGTCCTAGAAGACGATGGTGCATGATTTAAAAAGAGGCAGGGTCCATGAATGCAACTTGCAAGACTGTGGAATACTTGCGTGAACTATTGTCATGAGTGAAAAATAAGTCAGTGTTGTGCTAAGCTAGTGAGATTGGGAGGTTAATTATTACAGAAGCTAACATTACTTACCCTAAATCATATGCTGTATTTTATTTCAGTATCCAATTTGTCTTCTTCCTATATAGAAATGTTATTGATTTTTACTTTAATTCTAAAAATTTTATATAAAAGTGCTTTGGAATTTCTATGGAAACTATAATACTATTTGAAAATAATGACAACTTTTCCTATTTCTTTTCAATGCGTCTCCCTTTCACCTCTATTTCTTGCCTTATTTTGCTGGCCAGGCTTCCCAGAACAATGTTGAATAGAAGTTCTGATAATAGTAACAATAGTAATAATAGTCTGCTTTGCCTTACTACTGATGTTAAACAGAATTAACATCAGTATATAATATATCATATAGTCTTTTTGTACATAACCTTAATGAGATTTATTTATGCATGAGAAAGTTCCCTTCTAATTCTACTTTGATAAAAATCTTTTTTTTAATAATGATATATATATATGTATATTTCTACTGAATGTTTTCTTCAGCATGTATTGATACAATTACCAATTATGTGTTTCTTCTTTTATTTGTTGTGGTGAATTACATTCAGTGATTTACCAGTGTTTATCTAATCAACATGCATTTCTGGAATAAACTCAACTAGGTTATGATGTATTATTTTTTGCATGCATGGTTGGATTTTATTTGCTTATATTTTATTTAGAATTTTTATAGCTAGTATCATGAGTGTTTTAAGTCAATATAGTATTTTCTTTTTATCTCTTCACATTCTGAGGCATCTAGTAATATCTCATTTGCTCATTGTATTCTCTTAATAACGTTTTAAGGCCTGAAGAATCGGAGTTGTATCTCCTATTTCATTCCTAGCACTGTTTCTCTGTGCCTAGTCTCCTTTTTTCTTGATCAGTCTTGCCAGAAGCTCTTCAGTTTTATTAGACTTTTCAAGGAAACAACTTTGGCTTTGTTGATAGCAACCATATGCTTGATTTCTGTTTTATTACTTTCTACTCTTACCTTGACTGCTTTTCTTTAATTTCTTTAGGTTTGTCTTACTGGTCTTTTATCAATTTTTTAGGAAGTATATCTACTAAGCTCATTATTTTTTTTTTCTATATAAGCATTTAAGCCAGGGGCCAACAAAAGTTTTCTTTAAAATGAGCATATAGTGAATATTTTAATTTTTGTGGCCACATATGGACTCTGTTCAATATCTATGTATTTTTTCTCAACCTTTAAAAGTGTACAAAAAATTTTTTTGATCTCAATAGTTGTATAAAAGAGAAACAGCCTGAATTTGACACATAACCATAATTTTTCAACACCTGATTTGTCATAAGTTTCCCTCTAGTAATATTATAGAATCAACTAAAAACTTTTGAAGTTATTAATTTCAGTTTGTAAAAATGCCTATTTGCAGTGACATTGTGACTTTGATTCATGAGGTTTTAGAATTTTTTTCTTAACTTTTTAACATTTTTTTTCTGGGAATTATTTTATTTTTAGTTTCTAACTTATTCACATCATATAACATGACCTTCCAAACTTTCAAAACTTGCTGAGGCATGATTCACAGCAAATGAAATTTCAATGTTTGTTAGAAAAGAAACCATATTTTTTTTAGTTGCTGGGTTCAGATGTTCTATGGAACGTTTACATTATCTTTAAAATTATCTCAATCAAATTTTCTATATATTTAACTAAATCTTTCATTATTTTTTTACCAGTCCCTTAAATAGGTGCTTTAAAATCTCCCATCATGATGATATTGTTTGCTTCTTTTTGTAATTTCTGTAAATTTTGAAGCTATGCTATGTTTGTATGTAAATTAAATTTCTTTTTAATGATGAACTGAAATTTTTATCATAAAGTAATGCTATTATAATATTATAAAGTTTGCTATGGTTTTTGCCAATTTGTTTTTTTTTTGTTTGTTTTAAAGTATTTTTGCCTGGTATTATTATTACAACAACTTTTGTCATTGTTTTTAGCATTGTTTTGCATTACTTTATTCCTTTTATTGTTTAACCCCACTATATTCTTGTGTTTGATTTTTTCTCCAGAAATAGTATATACCTAAGCTTTGTTCTTTTGTCCATTCTCAAACTATTTCAGTATTTATTTATTTACATTTACTTTACATGTCATTTGGGGCAGAGAGAACAGGAGAGAGAATCCTAAGCAGGCTCCACATTGTCTATTTTAAACTCATGAACTGTGAGATCATGACCTGAGCTGAAATCAAGAGTTGGACACTTAACCAACTGAGCCACCCAGGTGCCCCAAATTACATTTATTTTAATTACTGATATGTATTATGTATACCATCTTATTTTGTACCTTTCATTTTGTACTTTAACTTGTTTTTGTATGTAGATTTATTTTCCTTTATCCTTTTTAGGACTAGTTATACTTCTTAAATATGTACTTTGGTGTGTTTTATCAGTTCTGGAAATTTTTCAGTCAGTATCTCAAAGAGTTTTTGCAGGATAAGTAGTAAGAGTACAAATGAAACCAAATTGAATATGAGTTAATTGTTAAACTGGGTTATAGGTAAATGACGATTTATTAGACTATTCTATTTTGCATATATTTTTAAAATTTCATAATTAATGGGTTTTTTAAAGTAAATATACAACCAGCTACCTAAAAATCATGTTTTATATATTTTCATAGAAGAGTTTGAAAGCTATTTTTCCTCCAGCTATTTAGTAGCAGTGGCTTGTGAATTTTGACTATTTTGACTGGCATATATATATGTGTGTATATACACACACATACATATATACATACATAGATATACATATATCTATGTATATATATAACTCATATGCATAATATAATCACAGAAAGTATACAAATCTTAAGTATATTGCTCAATGACTCACAAATAACACACCCATGTAATATGAATTAGAATAAGCTCCCTGGACATTACCCTGCAGCTGCCTTTACATATTTTAGATTGATCCTTTACAAGAATAACCAATTTCCTGACTCGTAATACTGTAGAATTGTTTTTTCTGATTCTTACTTTATTTAAAATGAGTCATGCAAGATGTGCTCTGTTGTTTCTAGTGACTTTAGTTCAAGATTGTCTTAATTTAAGTTTTTAATTTAGTAATTCTACTTTTTATTTCTAGAGTTCTCCTTTTGTCAAGCTTACTTGCTATCTACTGATACTTTACACCTGTCTTTTATTTACTGAAAGACTAATCATATAATCTACTGACTGTGCCAATATCTGAATTTTTTGTGGATCTACTTTTGTGTCTTGTTTTCAATTCATTTCAATTGCTATTACTTTACTTGTGTATGTGTCAGTGTTTTTTTATCCAGTATTTTATTTTATTCTATTTTATTATTTCTTTTTCAGTTTTACTGAGATGTAATTGATGTATAGCACTATATTAGTTCACGTGTTTTTAACGATATTTACTTATTTGCCATGCATAGTTTATTTTCTAGAAATTTTTAACTGTGAAAATATACAAGATGTGGGATGAAGTTGGGCTACTCTAGGAAGAATTTATGTTTACTTCTGTAAGGTACACAAGAGAAATAACATTCTGAGACTTTGGACAACATTTTGTAGTTGAGATTTCTCTGGCCACTCAGTCACAGTGAAAATTTGAGAACTATCCCTGTAAAGTTTAGCTACTTATTACAAATTCTTGCATTGCATTTTATTTGTAGGTACTGGTTGGAGGTGATAACATTACTTTTATTATTAGTTTGCTCTTAAACTAGGGTGTGGATATTTGAGATGTCATCTCCTGGTCTATGTTGAGCTATATTTTTCCATAAGCTTACAAACCTAAATAACTAATGATTATATTCACTAGGCTTGGAAAATTCCCTCAAGGAAAAATTGATGTTAATGCTCTACTTACTACTCTGAGTTCTTGTCTTCATGTAATCTTTACCTGAAGATTCTTTATATGTTTTGGTAGCTCATGGTTATATAAAGATAGTTTTGCATGATATTAAGCCATTTGCAATAACATACTTATGAAAATGGATGTCAACACAAATGTTTCTTAGGTTTATTTTTTCCTTTTTGATCCTTATAATAATTTTTTGTTTGAAATATCTATTTTTTGTTATTTTCTGTATTACCTAGACATAAAACTTATTCCAAAAATAATTTATATTTCTCCATTATAAATTATTGATATTTTTGACACCTAAACTGTAACTATAATTTTATAAATTATCCATGGCTATTAGTCTCTTCAGAGAGAACTGGTTTAGTTCTCTATAAATACATCTTTAGTAAATTCATCTCCTAAACTATGATATTATGGACTTTTGTCAGCTCAATTCTTTTTGAGACCAATATCTTATTATATTTTCTGGAACACAAACAAAATTGACTCAGTTCATAAGAGGTTGAATTTTTTTTACTTACAAAATGTTCCATGTAATGAGTAACTTGGTAGAAAAACAATTTAATGTTACATGCTACAATTTCAGTATCTCTAACTTGTATTTTTCTCTTTAATCCATTTGACCCAAGCAGCTGTGGATTTTAGGCTATGTTTTTGAGGGAAAAAAAAATCTATGTGGAGATATGTATATTAGAAATACTAGGGTTAGGTGGAGAATAGTGAGTGCATATGTGTTCATGTACTTTTTTTAAATTAAAACTTTATTTTTTGTGAACAGTTTTAGTTCACAGCAAAATTTAGGGGAAAGTACAAAGATTTTCCATATACCTCCTGTCTCCACACATGCGCAATCCTCTCCCATTTTCAACCTCCCCCACAAAGGTGGTACATTTGTTGCTGCTGAGGAGTTGGCTCACTCATTTTCTTATACTCTATCTTCATTTCCCAAGAGGGGTTAACTACAGTCCTATACTACATTTGTATTTTTCTATATTTTAAGTAGTTTTTTCTTTATGAATTATGATATATACTATTTGATGTATAAAAATCATGATTATTCATTAGAGACAGAAAACTATCATTATGAGGGCCACAGGTATCTTTAACTTTTTATATTGGGACCAGCCTTGTCTGGTCATAACAACTTGATCCTCTGATTTTTCTTTCTTGCATCGCACATCCAACATTGATCAAATCACTGTGACTGTGATTTAGAACTCTGGCTAGTCAACTTGAGACTAACAGAAGTGTCTGTTATGGTGGAGTGGGGATCCAGAGAGTCAGTAAGAAGTTCAATTAAGTTTGACAGTTAAAAAAAAAAAAGATTTTTTTTTTTTTTGCAGAAGAATGGGTATGGGTAACTTGATAGGCAAAACCAATGCAATATTTATTAAAGCCCTAGATAATCAAGGTAGCTAAGTCCAAGTCCCACAGCTGAAATTGGAAAACATTTGTAATTATTTTGGAAGGAATGCTAAGTAATGCACAGGGAAAGGAATGTGGTTTTATTTCTATGGGGGTGGGAAACAGAAAAATTAAAAAAAAAATTCTTAGAAGATAAGTAAACCTATATACCAATTCAACAAATCCACTTGTTTCTTTGAACTATTTTATTTTCTAATATTTTTAAAAATTTTTAAATGTTTTTTTTTTAATTTATTTCTGAGAGAGAAAGAGAGAGACAGCGTGAGTGGGGAGGGTCAGAGAGAGAGGGAGATACAGAATCTGAAACAGGCTCCAAGCTCTGAGCTGGCTGTCAGCACAGAGCCCAACCTGGGGCTTGAACGCATGAACCGCAGGATCATGACCTGAGTCGATGTCGGATGCTTAACTGACTGAGCTACCCAGGTGCCCCTATTTTCTAATGTTGATTATATCTTCATAACATAATTTTCAGAAAAGTTCATTTTTTCTCTGCCTAAGATTCCTGCTCTGCTTTGGGGAAATGAGGGCAAAAAGCCTGATGTGCTCAAAGGTGGTGGTAGAAATGGAGACAAGGAAAGAAGGCTGAGAGACAGAACAGATAGAGCTGTTCAGCTCTTCCATTTTTCCACCCATCAGTACACAATTTTAGTTCGTTTGTTTTGGCTCCTCAGTCTGCATCTGCAGCAGCAGAGCACATAAGCAAAGCTGAACGTTTTTCAAAATGTGATTCTAAAGTCCAAATGAAATCCAGTTGTAGTTATTAGCATCCTGGATAAGCTGCTATTGCAAAGGCCAAAGAGCAGTAGCTAATAAATGTGAAAGTTTAATTTCTCTTTCAATTAATAGTTCAGTCCTGAAACGACAGTGGCTCCATGATATTAGTTACCCAATATCCTTCTGCTTTATTAATCGGAGGCCCTCAACACACTGCTTCCACTTCATGACAAAAAGAGACTAAAGTTCCATTTCTCAAATCTATATGTCAACCAGAAGAAAGGATAGAAGAGATCTTGGGTGGCATGCTCCTGGCCTCTAATGCTATGCCTACAACTTGAATTCACCACTTTCTGCTCAATCCTGTTAGCCTGAGTGTAGCCACATGGCTTAATGTTGCTGAAATTCAGCCTAACGAAGATAGTCTTTAGCTGGCCATGTATGCTGATACATTTTAGTGTCTTCATTACTAAAAAATAAAGAAGGATATTGTGGAAAAGCCAGTTTCTGATTTGCCAAAAACAAAAAAAAAAAACAAAAAAAACCCCACCCTAAATATTATAGATAGATATTAGGTAAATTGTTCTGCTTCTGAGGAGTTATAGGGGTATTTAGAAACAAACTTCAGATAAATGCCTGCCTAGTACACGGAAGGCATACAAATACATCTTGAATGAATGAATGAGTGAATATCTAAGCCATCAAAGAGCGGGTTAAAAATGACAGTAACAGAGCATGCCAGACTCACAGAATCAATTTAGTAAATATTTACTGGAGGACTGTGGACTATGATTTATGTTAGGCACTGGGATAACAAACATATAAGACAGAACCTGCAACCTGCTCTAGTGTGCTAAAAAATTATAAGGAAGAAATGTAAAACTAATTATATATGTAAATTTTTAATATTCTTGAATTCTCAACGTCACTATCACAGCTCTTCTCCAAGTTTTAAATCCTACTGGCTTACCTCCAAGAAGAATCATAGATACGTTTGCTGTGATGCATGCACCTCTTCTCAGCCTTGTGTAGATCCATTCATATATTATTAACCAAATTCATGAGTCTGATGTACAAGCAGGATGTTAATGTGTTTCTTCGCAATAAAACATTCTTGCCACACAGACCACAAGACTCAATAGTGACATGATGAATGTATTTTCTCTTTAGGAAACCTTTGCAAGAAGGCAAGTCACAATAAAAAGGTTTCTTGATGAACATGAAATCTCAAAACTGCATGAGACAAATTGAAAATTTAATATCTATAATAGTGAAATACATCCATTTTACCACAGAACTTTCCTCACCAACGGGACTCAGATATTCATAATATATCAGCATAAGCTTCTCTCATGAGTGCTTCAGAAATGGTTTCTGCCCTCATTTTACTCCCACAGTGTTATTTTTAAAAAGTCAGACCACTGTTGGGGTGCCTGGGTGGCTTAGTCGGTTGAGCATCCGACTTTCACTTAGGTCATGATCTCACGGTTCGTGGGTTCGAGCCCCGCGTCGGGCTCTGTGCTGACTGCCAGCTCAGAGCCTGGAGCCTGTTTCAGTCTGTGACTCCCTCTCTCTCTGACCCTCCCCTGCTCACGCTGTCTCTCTCTCTCTCCTAGAAATAAATAAAAAATATTAAAAAAAAAAAAAAAAAGTCAGACCACTGTTAATCAACACTGTGCTACCTCAAACCCAGCTTGGAGTTTTGACTGATAAGTATTTTGCTTAGATATCCTAAGGCTTTTTTCCAGCAAGTACTTATGGAATCATCTCATTTCCTTCATGTGATTTTGAATGTTACTTTTAAATCTTACTCACTCTGATAATTTCATCATAAAAATTTATTAAAATTTATTAAGAAGTACATTAGTATATCCCTCAGATATTTAAAATACAAGATAAACTGGACCAAATGCTATATTTAATGTACAATAAATATTATGGAAACACAGAGGAGGGAAATATATTTGATTAAGAGCATCAAGAAAAGCTCTTTATATAAACAATTATGTTTGGACAGGGCTAGGAAGAATGAATAAAATTTCAAAAGTAGAAAAATGGTCGAGAGCACTTAAGGTCAAGGATTCTGTGCAAATAGGTCTAAAATTACAAGGCATGTTTATAGAGTGGTAAGTAATCTGATAGGCCTAGAGGATAATAGTCTTTTCATATAAAATGAGATTAGAAAAACTATAATTATGTGAGATGCCATGATAAAAATATTATCTTTTTACTATTATAATTTTAGTAATGATTCAGAACATAGATTTGTGTTAATTTACCAAAACAAAAGACTATCGGGGCTCCTGGGTGGCTCAGTCAGTTGAGCGTCCAATTTCAGCTCAGATGGTGAGCTCACAGTTGGTGAGTTTGAGCCCTGCATCAAGCTCTTTGCTGACCGCTCGGAGCCTGGAGCCTGCTTCAGATTCTGTGTCTCTGTCTCGCTTTGCCCCTCCCTTGTTCATGAGTTCTCTCTCACTCTCAAAAGTAAATAAACATTAAATTTTTTTTTAAAAAGGAAAAACTATAGAATCAATAAATTTAACATCCACAATGTATGTGACAGAAAAAGCAGAAAATGATCTAACCAAAGAGTTGCTTATCTAGTTATTTAATTAACCATCTTGAATTTCACTTTCTCTTTTTCCTTCTCTCCTTAATTATCAGGCTTCCTGAAAAAAAGCAGCATGTTAACACACAAGATTGTCTAGATCTATCATACATAATGCCCTTTCTTTTACTTTTTTTTTCCTTTTCTTTTATTTGTTTATTTATTTATTTATTTATTTTACAGATAGTTTATTATCAAGTTGGTTTCCATGTAACACCCAGTGCTCATCCCCACAAGTTCCCTCCTCTCTGCCCATCTCCCCCTCCCCCCCGAAACCCATCAGTCCTCAGTTTGTTCTCAGCATTCAAAAGTCTCTCATGGTTTGCCTCTCTCCCTTTCCCCTACCATTTCCCCCATGGTCCTCTGTTAAGCTCCTCCTAATCCTCCTATACGTGCAAACATATGATATTTGTCCTTCTCTGCCTCACTTATTTCGCTCAGCATAACCCCCTCAAGGTCCATCCATGTTGCTACACATGGCCAGATTTCATTGTTTCTCATTGCCATGTAGTATTCCATGGTATAGATAAACCACATCTTCTTGATCCATTCGTCCGTTGATGAACACTTAGGCTCTTTCCATGTTTTGGCTATTGTTGAGAGTGCTGCTATGAACATTGGGGTACGTGTGCTCCTATGCCTCAGCATTTCTATATCCCTTGGGTAAATTCCTAGCAGTGCTATTGCTGGGTCATAGGGGAGTTCTATTGTTAATTTTTTGAGGAACCTCTACGCTGTTTTCCAGAGGGGCTGCACCAGTTTACATTCCCACCAACAGTGTAGGAGGGTACTGTAATACCTTTCTTTTAGTTATTTAAAAGGTGTTGCAGTTTAAAAAAATCACCCTGAAAAGGAGACTTTAAGTCTCCCCAATTAAAGACACTGCTGTTTTTGCACATGCACTCCGAAATCTGATATTAAACACTTAGTAAATGGAACATCTCTGCAGCATTTTATCAAACCAACAGAAGTTGGCTTGTTGGGGGTACTAACTCTATTATTACTAGCCCATCCTACATGCAAATGAAATACTGTGTGTGTGGATAAGAGTAAAAGACAGAGAACTATGGACTGAAATATTTTTATTAAAAATACTGGTAAAAATTGAAAATTATACTGCATCCAATGACAATTTATGTCCCTAACTACTACATTGCACTAGCAATCAGCTGTTTAAGATTGGTTTTCAAACATGATGTTCAGAAATATAGCATGGGTAAATATTTGAAAAAATATTGATATTATGTAAGGGCTCAAAAATCTTTATCATTTGAGACATGACTCTATAAGTCTTCCTTTCTGTGCTCCTTCAGGAAAGGTCATGGTTATTCATGATTCCCAGCTCAAGTGACATGACTCAATGGCCTAAGCTCCACAAGGTGGCATAAGCTAGTCATCATGTCACAGTTTTCAGGTGCCAGAAAAACACTGGGTGAAAGCCCCAGCCAGTCAAACTTCATAAGTAACTCCATTTGACTTATTAGACTGACGATAGATGGCCCATATCAAATACTTCAACAAACACTGTTTGGTAGAGGATTAATTCTGGATGATCATTATTCATAAAAAGCATGGATCATTTGTAGTTGAAAACTTGTACATAGCATTGTCTTCAGGTGGATTTACTGTTTCAGGAATGCCACTCTGAAGTATTCAATTTCTCTAGGAATCTCATTTTACAGACTATTAACAAAGGAAATTATCTTCAAGTATTAGGGGGGAAAAGATGATTCTACAGAAGAACAGATATTGGCTTCCCAAGTTTTGGTGTCTATGCACGTCTATTTGAATACTGAGGATGGAAGAGACCAAGGTCATTACTAAGAAGGAGAGAACTTCATAGGCATTCTTCATCTTAATATAGCCTGCACCAATGACCATCTTTCATAATTGACAAAAAGTACCCAGGGGAAAGAAGAAGATATGGGGGATAAAAAGTCAAAAAGTAATAAATATAAAAGAAAACTCATAATGAAGTTTTCAATAAAAGTGCCATGTAAATTTGCTGCTAGACTCCCAAACAAATCACCTGAAGTTGGTACAGTTTTTTAACTTTTCATCTAGGCATGCACAAATCTGGATAATATCAATGAGAGATTGGAAGAGTTGTAGATAAGGTTATTGTAGATGAATCTGGAAAAGAAATAAAGGGATGTTATGGAGGTCCTTTATATTTCTGCAGGAGTTTTCTATATTAGTTCTAGATAATAAGTACTGCATCACTTCAGTAAAAAAAAAAAAAAAAAGGCATCCAATAGTGATTGTCTGATCATTTCTTCTTTCAGTTATAATGATCATAATTTTTCTACTCTTGGTTCTTTGGAGTCCATATAACAGCTTTAATAACCAATTTTGGGGGCTGCACTCTTAAGTCTTTATCATTTTTAACAGGTGTACTAATAGCTCTATAAGGAGCATGTCCACACAACAGCATTGGTTGCTTAGCAGTCAGCACCTTCAGTCATACCAACAGTGCAGTGTAGGAAAAGCACAAGAAATGTACTTCTTTAAGTGTAGGTTTACGATAGAAGGAATGGTACTGAAGCATGAGGGATTCTTTAACTAATAATGATAATAAGCACCTTAGTACTCTTGCATGCTCAGTGCAATTCTATGTGCTTTGTTTTTAGTACTCACAAAAATCCAGTCAGTTACTATTATTCTCAAAATTTACAAATTAGGAATTCAGCACCAGGAGTTTAAGGAAGTTGCTCAGAGTCACACAGCTAAGTGATAAAGTGAAAAATTAAACCTGGACATTCTGAATCTGCAGGCTTTATACCTTACTGCATAGTAAAATCCTCTGACACTGATCACTATTATTTCCGAAGACAATTTTACAAATAGAAAAACCTTAAGATTTTTACATATAATTAATGTTTTCATGTAACATACTAGCTTATGGGGCGCTTGGGTGGCTGTCAGTTGGGCATTCGACTTTGGCTCAGGTCATTGTCTCACAGTTCGTGAGTTTGATCCCCGCGTTGGGCTCTGTGCTGACAGCTCAGAGCCTGGATCCTGCTTCAGATTCTGTGTTTCCCTTCCTCTCAGCCCCTTCCCCACTTGTGCTCTGTCTGTCTGTCTCTCTCCCTCTCAAAAATAAATAAACATTAATATATATATATACACATATATATATAATAAAATACTAGTTTAGACTCACTAGAAAATAGTTTTAATTAGTCAATTAATTTCAAGACAGTGAGTGCCAGTAAACTATACATTTGTATTCATGTTTATTGTATTTTACTGTTTCAATCAATAACCATACAGCAAGCTTTAGGAAAAAAGTGTCATTTCCGTATGAGGCTCCTTCAACGGGCTGTGAATACAGTGCGACTCTTCTGACCGTAACTTTCTTGCTTTCAGATGGCCTTTTTTTCAATTGATTTTATTTACTTTCAAAGTGACATTTCAACAGAGGTATCCACTCTCATTTCCACTCTCCTTTGACATTTCTGTGACTTAGAGTGCAAGGAACTGCTTGCCAAAGACTTGCTAGATTGATGTTGGGAGGAAAAGGAAAAAAAAAATCTGCAGATAGCAGATGTTTCTTTTCTTCTTGTT